TACGTACTGACTGCTATAGATATCGCGTTATGATAAAAATGAAAAGTAATGCACATCTTTATAAATGTTTATCTTTGTAAATGAATATTGTATAACCGAATAAAAACATTGTTTTTATATTGCTAAATTAATTTTATACAAATTAATTTAAATAAAGATGAATAAATTAATTTATTATTTGTATATATTTATTGTATATATGAATAAATTAATTTATTATTTATATATATAAATTAATATATTTGTTTTGAACTCTACGTTCTTTACTTTTAATGGAACAATATATAAACAAACTTTTGGCACTCCTATGGGTTCCCCACTTTCTCCCACCATAGCTGACATAGTCCTTCAAGATTTGGAAGAGAAAGCTCTTTCAACATTGACTTTCATTCCATCCTTTTACTACAGATACGTCGATGATATCGCAATGACTGCACCATATTATCTTATGGATCACACGCTTAATGTTTTTAATTCCTTACATCCTAGAATCCAATTCACCTTAGAAATTGCTGACAATGATAAATTGAACTTTTTAGATATCTCAATACTTCTAATTAACAACCGCTTATTAACTGACTGGTTTCATAAACCTACCTTTTCGGGTCGGTATCTTAATTTTCTTTCTCAACATCCGACATGCCAAAAAAGAGGTACCATTATTGGCCTTGTTGATAGAGCTTTCTTACTTTCACATCCACAATTTCACCAAAAAAATTTGGACTTTATCATAAAAATTCTCCTGGACAATAACTACCCATTAGATTTCATTTTTCAAACAATTTTTAACCGTCTCAAATTTCTGATGTTTAAAAATACGATAAATTTAAAAAATAATAAGACATAGGCTCAAATAATAATAATAAATGTAAGCAAATAAAAAGGCAATATGAGCCACAAGTATCACGTTGAGAGATTTATTAATTGTGTGACGGCAATTGACAAATTTCATATTAAAACGGGTACAAAGTGACACTAAACAACAAATGAAAATAAAGCGAACGTTTTTATATCGGGAATGAAGAAATCAAAATATACGCGTCTTGAAAATAATCACAAAGATCATCTATGCATTAAATGTTGGGAAGTTTATCCAACGCAGTAATATATGTCTGGTGCAAGCTTTTTAATTGATAATTCCAAAAATTTTTAATTGATAATTCCAACCTTATTCTCACCAGGGCTGATAAGGGAAATGTGACTGTGGCTCTAGATAAAAATGCCTATCTTGTTAACATGAACGATACATTGAGTGATTCTGAGAATTACGTTGTTCTTTCTAAAGATCCTACTAAGAAACTGATAACATCTTTACGCGAACTACTAACTAGATGGAAGAATTCCAATCATATTTCATCCGCTACATACAAAACTCTTTATTGTAGTGACGGCAATCTCCCTAGAGCATACGGACTGCCAAAAATACATAAACGTGACTGTCCGTATCGAATCATAGTTTCTTCATTGAATAGCAGTTTATACCATCTTGCCTTCTTCCTAAATCAAATCATGTTGAAAAGTTTTCCTAAAGCAGATAGCAACATTGTCAATAGCTTTCAATTAACTAAAAATCTGTCGAATGTCAACTGATGATTTGATTTCAAATTGCTATCGTTGGATGTGATCTCGTTATTCACCAACATCCCTATTGACCTTGCCATTGAGAGTGTCGAGAAAAGAATAGATCTCATTTCCAACAATTGTTCCATTCCTCCAGCGGAGTTTATCTTAGCGATAAAATTTGTTTTGAACTCTACTTTCTTTACATTTAATGGAACAATTTATAAACAAACTTATGGCACTCCTATGGGTTCCCCATTATCTCCCATCATAGCTGACATAGTCCTTCAAGATTTGGAAGAGAAAGCTCTTTCAACATTGACTTTCATTTACTACAGATACTACAGATACGTCGATGATATCGCAATGACTGCACCATATTATCTTATGGATCACACGCTTAATGTTTTTAATTCCTTACACCAATTCACCCAATTCACCTTAGAAATTGCTGACAATGATAAATTGAACTTTTTAGATATCTCAATACTTCTAATTAACAACCGCTTATTAACTGGTTCCATAAACTTACTTTTTCGGGTCGGTATCTTAATTTTCTTTCTCAACATCCGACATGCCAAAAAAGAGGTACCATTATTGGCCTTGTTGATAGAGCTTTCTTACTTTCACATCCACAATTTCACCAAAAAAATTTGGACTTTATCATAAAAATTCTCCTGGACAATAACTACCCATTAGATTTAATTTTTCAATCAATTTTTAACCGTCTCAAATTTCCGATCTCTAGTAGCGGCCTTCCAACTTACGATGAGGAGGTCAATAATAAAATTGTCTCATATTTTACAATCCCTTTTGTCCATACCATCTCGCACAAATTTAAAAACATCATAAAAGATCTTGACGTCAGGCTTTCTTACTGTAGTCTTAATAAATTATCATGCTTTATTAGGGTACATAAGGACGTCCTTCCCAGTGCATTTTGCACTAATGTCATCTATATGATCAATTGTGCAGATTGTGATGCATCTTATGTAGGTCAGACAAGCAGGAGACTACAGACGAGAATCGGGGAACACCGCAACCACATACGTAGAAATACAACTGTTGGTTCGGTGATTACCGATCATAGATTAGAGTTTGACCATGATTTTGACTGGAACCATGTCCGGATTTTGGACAACGAAAAATATCTAAACAAACGACTGATATCTGAGATGTTGTTCATAAGGAGACAAATAAATGGTCTGAATTTGCAAACGGATACCGAGGGCTTGCACCAGACATATATTACTGCGTTGGATAAACTTCCCAACATTTAATGCATAGATGAT